GCCGCCCACTCAGGAGACTTAGCTAGGCAGGATCGAAGTACATAGCCAAGTAGGTTAGTATGGACTTAGCCTAAGTGGGCTAAATAGGCTAGCCTAAGTGGGCCCGTCGTCGGGCCCATGGGCCCGATAACGGGCCCCGGAGGCCGAAATCCAAAAAAAAGGGAGCCGCAGTGAACGATCTCACCCCCTCGGAGCTCTGGGGGGCGGGGCGGGCGGCGCTCCGCGACAGGGGGGGGGCGGGGCAGGCGAGGACGACGGGCCCGAGGAGCTGGACTGGGTGGAGGAGCCCCGCCTGCTCGGCGAGGCCCGCGGGCAGCTCCCCCCGGCCCCCCGCCCCTTTCCAGGCCTCCCAGAGGGGGCCCGAGCAGCTGGAGTCGGAGGATCGCCTCCTCGCGCCCGAGACCTCGGCGATGCGGGCTCGGGGCCGAAGCCCGATTTTCTCCACGCGACGTCGCTGGCCTGCTGTCGCCGACGTCGCGATGCATCGCCGACCATCGGCGATGCGTCGGCGATGCGGCGCGATCCTTCCCCCACCTCCCGACCCCATCCCCTCGGACCCCTCCAGGAGGCTTAGCCCCTGCCCCGCGCAGTGCACGCGGCCAGCGCCACCACTGCCTCCGCCCCCCCCTCCACAGTTCTCTTCCTCTCCTGCTCCTCCTCCTCCTCCTCCTCCTCCTCCTCCTCCTTCTTCCTCCTCCTCCTCCTCCCCCTCCCCCTCCTCCTCCTCCTCCTCCTCCTCCTCCTCCTCCTCCTCCTCCTCCTCCTCCTCCTGAGGTATATTCAAAGCCGGTCCTAATTCTGGGCTGGCCTAGTTGGGGCTGTGCACGCACACAGGTGTCCCATATCATCGAATCGAATCCTCCCTCCCCCCTCCTCCTCCTTCTCCACCACCTCCTCCTCCCCCTACTCCCCCTCATATCCTCCTCCTCCTCCTCCACCTCCTCCTCCTCCTCCACCTCCTCCTCCCCCTCCTCCTTCTCCTCCTCCTCCTCCTCCTATTTCCTCCACTTTACGTGGGGCAGATCTTGGCTTGCTCGAGCCGTCGCGGCGTGATGGCAACGATCCGAGAAAGACAGTTCGCGTGGTGGAAGTGAGGAGGGGCGGGCCTTCTCAGAGGACTCGGAAGGACTCGGAGGACTTCAGAGCCCCGAATCATCAGGGGTAACTCGGGTCAGGGCTAACTCGGGTTCGTTTTTCGGGATTCCGAACCCGACTTACCCCGGACCCGAGTTACCCCGGATAACTCGGGCGCCCAAGGACAGAAGTTTCCTGAGCTTTGGCATCTCTCGGACGTGCACATGTTTTTTGTATCTGCGAGGACCATCGAGGAGCGGGTTTGTTCACCTTGCGAGGCAGAACGCGCGCGAAACCTAAAAACGCTCAGGGGATGGCCGTCCGAGCGATGGCGAGAAGCCTGCCCCGAAGACACAGGAAACTTCTCAGAAGGGCTTCTGAGAAGGCCCGCCGCCCTCTGAGAAGGCCTTCTCCTTCTCACTTCCCCCCCCTCGCTCGCCGCCAAAACATGGCCATTCGCCCTCCCCGCCCGTCCTCGCTCGTCCTCGCCTTTTCCGCGTCTGCCGTCGCGAGCTCGTTTTTTTGGAGGTGAATCGGGGATCGGACGCGTGGTGCCGTGTGCTGGGCTGCACGTCTGGCCGAGGCATCAGCTCGAGGTTGGTTCGGGGAGGGTGCAATGATGGTCTTCGTGCTTGTTGGATTGTCGTGTGCACCCCGGGGAGGGTTCCCTCCGGTGTTCTGTGTGCCTTGGCCGGCGGAGGGTCTCATGGTCTGAAGTGTGCGTGGCTGCCCTGGATGTCGCTACGAAGGGAGAGGGGCCACAACCCTCCCAGCCCTTTGTGGGCCCCGGAAACGGCAGGGCCAGTTTTCCACCGTTTCCAAAACAAATGTCCCTTGAAAATGGAAACGGCAAAAAAACGGCGACCGGAAACGGCAAAACAACGGCTCCAGGATTGGAACCAGAGCCGAAACCGGTCAAAAAACGATGACGGAACTGGTAAAAAAACGGCGTCGGAACCAGCAAAAAATCGGCAAAACGGAACCGGTAAAAAAACGGCTCTGTCGTTTCCAGGGCCCACTAAGTCCCAGCCAGACAATTCTACATCCCCCCAACAGACCAGCCATGAACGGGCGGCTTGTTGTCCACACCCCCCTGGAACCCTGCAAGACAGTTCAAACCAGACGTCCAAACAAGTCGGCCCCCCTCCATCCTCTTATGAAGTCTGGAACACACGTTAGAGTGACCCTTCGCCAGAGTAACCCTCTCCCCCTCCTCCTCCTCCGCCCTCGCCTCCTCGTCCTCCTGCTCCTTGTCCTCTTCTTCCTCCTCCTTCTCCCTCTCTCCTTCCTCCCTCTTCTTCTCCTCGTCACTTTCGGTGCGGACCCACTCGCGTCCCCCGATCGCTGCGCACGATGCCACAGTATCGGATTGCCCGCTCGGGCTTGGGCCCCCGCGCCCTCTTCGGGAGCCGCGCACCACCGGTCGCTCTTGTCCAGGATCGTTCCTGCGTGCGGCCGGCGTGCGTGCCCTCCGTTCTGGCTTCTCGTGCCACCACGCCAGCGACGCTGAGGCCCCAGCAGGAGGGCCCCAGGGCTCGAAGAAGACCCCTCCCTTCTCTCTCCTCCCTCTTCCCTCCTCCCTCCTCCCTCCTCCTCCTCCTCCTCCTCCTCCTCCTCCTCCTCCTCCTCCTCCTCCTCCTCTTCCTCCTCCTCCTCGAAGCAGAATCCGTCGGAGGTCCGCGCGGACTTCTCGGATCGGCGCTGGGGCACCCCCTGGCGGCGCCGCCCCAGGCGCGCGCCGTGCGCCAGCGCCGGCCCAAGGAGCCCGCGTGGAGCTCCGGATGTTTATGGTCATGCCGTGTGTTCTTCCTCCAAAGGTGGCCCCCGGGAGCCCTGGTTCGCCCCCGAGGCTGTGCCCCAGGATTCGCCCGAGAGGTTCCGACATTGTTCAAGTGCTGCCCCGAAGAGTGCCCGCCAGAGAAGTCCCCGGATGCCCACGAGGAGCAGCCTATAGATTGCCCGCCGGGCTTGGGGTCGCAATGGCCACTGCGCGGTGGTTGCGTTTTGCAAATGCGCTTTTGTCATTTATCCAGATGTTCTGCGTTTGTCGTCACGCAGCTCTTGGACCTCAGTCGTATCTTGACACCAGGGGCCACTGTGCCTGAGTCACCATTTCGCCCACAGGTGCGCGTATACTTTGGTAATTATAAGAGCACCCTTCGGGTGATAAGGAGGCTGGTGATGCTCTGCTTGATTCTCTAAGTACATCCGTATTTAGATCTCTCTAGGTATACACACTCGTACCCGCATATGTATACACTCATACACAGATTGGTATCAGAGTGAAGGGGGCCGAATGGTCATTCATTGTCCCTGGTGCGTGGCTGAAAAAGGGAATCCGAGGAGAGGATTATGCTTGTTGCGTTGTTGCGTCGTTGCTGTTGTTGTTGTTGTTGTTGTTGTTGTCGTCGTCGTCGTCGTCGTCGTCGTCGTCGACGTCGTCCCAGGAGGAGGTCTCCCGCGACCACACCTCGGCGACCCACCCCAGGACCTCCCACCCCCCGACCCACCCCCGCGACCCACCCGCCCGAAACCAACCCGCTGACCCACCCCGAACCACCCGCGACACAACCCCCGAACCCCACCCCGACCCACCCGCGACCCACCACGCGAACCACCCGCGACCCACCGCGACCACACCCGATCCCCAACCCGCGACCCACCCGCGTACCACCCGCGGACCCACCCGCGACACAACCGTGACCCACCCGCCCACCCTGCGACCCACGGGCGACCCACCCCGCGACAGCCATCCGGCGACCGACCACCACGACCCACCGCCCACCCGCGACCCACGTATGACCCACCCCGACCCACTTTGACCCACCCGCGACCCACCCTTGATCCACCCCACGACCCACCCGCGACCTAACACCGACTCACCCGCGACCCATTTGCGACCCACCCGCGACCCACCCGCGACCGACCGACATTGGTTTAACGAAAAAAATCGACGCCTGCGGCGGGCTCGTTGCATAATTTGTGAAACTTTGGCGCCTGCGGCGGGCTTCTCCAGAGTCTCGCAGACTGCCGACGTCCCCACCGCCCCCCTCACTCTTATCCGCACCCGCGGGGTGCTACGCACGCGCGGGCATGTCGAGACCCCGATCTGTCGGTGGGGAACGCTGCCGCCTCGTGGGCGCCTCGTGGGCACCCCGTGCGCTGCTTGGGTTCTCCGAGCGCCGCGCCACGTTGCCGCCTCGTGGCTGCCTCGGGGGCGCCTCGTTGGCGCCCCCGTGCGCCTGGGGCGTTCCCCGAGGTGGCGGCACGTCGCCGCCTCGTGGGCGCCCCGCGGGCGCCCCGTGCGCCGCGCCGGTTCCCCGAGGTGGCGCCGCGTTGCCGCCAATGCCGCCTCATGCTGCGCGCTTCGCGGGCGCCCCGTGCGTTGCGTGGGGTTGCCGAGGTCGCGCCGCGGTGCCGCGCGTGCCGCCTCCGGGGGTCCTCGTGGGAGGCCCGTGCGCTCTGAGCTTGCGCGATGTAGCCTCCACCACTTAGCTTACGCCACGCAGCTCACACCACGGGCATCACACGACACTGATAGCTTTCACCGCACAGCTTACATCACATAGCTTGCATCCCATAGATTCCACCTCCAGCTGACACCACATAGCTAACAAAAACACAGTTTTCATCACATACAATCACCGTGGTTGCGTATGGAACGTAAGATAATGAACGACGGTGCTGTTCTGGCCACGGCGAGCCTCGGCCACTAAGAGGTTCCCCGACCTGGAACTGAGGAGCAGCTCGATAACCAGAGCCCCTCATGTGCCCGAAGTGGTCCTGCCTACTCATGTGCCCCTCACTGTTGCTGACACCGCATTAGTGGCCACTTCCACCGTGCAATAACGCATCGTTCGGGGTGAACACAGGCTAACAGGTCTCATCATCAATGCATGTCTCTATCTAGCTATCTGTATGTATGACGGCCACTCACAAGCACTGGCTTGCCGCAGCAGTATCTTGCATCGTCCAGTATGTCATTCTGCCCTCGCCCGAGCCCCCTCCCCAGCCGCTCCCCAGTGTTGCGTCTGGCTCCCAGTTCGACACAAAGAAACGGCCCGCCGTGCCGGCCGAAGCGCCACCATGGCGGCGCCCCCGTGCCGCCCTGCGCTGGAGCGCCCCTCCCTGCTGCTGATGCTGCAGGCCGGCCGGGCATGGGGGGGCGCGGGGGGGGGAGTAGGAGGAGAATGAAGAGGAGGAGGAGGAGAAGGAGGAGAATGAGGAGGAGGAGGAGGACGAGAATGAGGAGGAGGAGGAGGAGGAGGAGGAGGAGGAGAGGAGGAGGGGGCGTCGAGAGGGGGAGGCCCACTCTTCGTGGCGTGCTCTGCAGCACTGGTCTGCTCTTTGCTTCCTCTGGCCGCCCGCCCTCTCCCCCGCTGTCGCCCTCCCGTCCCCGCCTCCCGCGCCGACGCACCTGGCACGGCGGCGGCCACACGCCCCCCGAGGCGGGAGGCGCGGGGGGGGAGAGAGTGAACAGTGGGAATCCGACCCCAGCCCCCACAACAGAGGATTTGATATGTCAACGGGGGGGGTCCGCGCGCGCGGTCTAGTTGGTCTTAGGTTCCTCATGTGGGGGGGGCGGGGCTGCGGCTGTCGTGCGTTCAGGCGGAGGCGGGACATCGAGTCACAGTCGCAGTTGGGCCCACGGACGGACCCTCACTGGCAGAACCCCTGGGCAAGGCGGAACGAAGGGGGGAAGATTCCCCCAAGAAGGGAAGGGCAACGAAGCCGTGGACCTGTCCAGGCCAGCTCTGGCTCAAGGGCCGTACTACTGGTCCGTGGACTGGGTGTCCTTACCCGTCAGGAAGACACCTATCATGTCGGGGGGATGGGGTTGGGAGAAGTGGGCATATCATCAATATTATCGCGCCTGCTGAATGAGACTGACACACGCTCGTGCCCTGCATCTTCCCAACCCCTTCCTCTCAACACGATGCTTGTCGTTCTGAACTCTCCGCCCTCGCCCCGTTGCCCGTCTCGGCGATCCCGATGGATCTGGGCACATCGGGGGCGGCACTCAGAGGGGGGAGAGCTAAGTCGGGCCTGTCCTTCTACAGGGGGAATCTTCAAACATAGTTTCTATATATATATATAGATTCTGGGAACGATGTTTCGAAGATGGTTTGACCATTCTGGGGGTATTTTTACAGGGGGAATGTTCAAAAATGGTGGAACAATAGTCCGGGGACGATGTTTCGAATCTTGTTTGACAATTTTCGGTGTGTTTTTGGGGTGTTTAAAAACTTGTTCGTCCACCAAAATCCCCATGTATGGGGGACAGGCCCGACTTAGGGGAAGAGTTCGCCTGGCAGGGCGGCAGCCCACCGAGTCATGGCAGGGTGCGCTGGGACGGCCACGGGTCGCAACCCGGCAGGGTGTGTCCGAGGGCCGTGCTCCACGGCAGCCCCGACCGCCACACGCCCTGAAGGCGCCAGGTGGAGCCTGCTCCATACAGTGCCGTTTTTTTTATACATGCTCCGCGCCCGGATCATGTATTGTAAGCATGCAGGGATCTAGTATTAAAAACAACGATGAGTTCATGCATAAATTTGTTGATACAGTGATCATGTATAATTTTTTGACAGAAATATCATGGATTAAAAACTGCCCTGTCGGAGGACGGATTGCCACCCTAGGGTTGTGGAAGTTGACAAATGGAAGGGAAGCGTGCTGCCAAGTAATGTCCAGAGGTTCAAAAGATGTTTCAGATAGGCTTTTAAATCTGTTAGAAACAGGATTGAAACATGTTTGAGACATGTTTTACACACTACAAGCACACCTTTAGTTCAATGATCGGATTGTTAGAGTGTCCATTGTCATGGCATCTACAACCCTAGGGATGACCCGAGTGGGCCCCGGAAACGGCAGGGCCGTTTTTTTTCCGAATAGTGCATTGGAAATGGAAGCGGCAAGAAACTAGCGACCAGAAACTGCAAACCAATGGCTGCAGGATTGGAACCGGAGCCGGAGCCGGAAACACAGCATCGACGGAACGGGCAACAGCACGGCGTCGGAGCCGGCGAAACAGCGGCAAAACGGAACGGGTAAAAAACGGCCTTGTCGTTTCCAGGGCCCACTGAAGGGGGTGACTGTGAAGACGCCGCCGCGGCAGGCCTCACCACCCACCAAACCACCCCAACCCAACCCGAAGGCTCAGATTTATCCTCGATTTCCAGTGGGGGGGGGTCGGGGAACATCGAACAAACACATGGAACCCGTACCCCCCCAACCCGAAATTCGGTTCAAATTCGGGTCTTCGGGTTGGGTTGGGGTGGTCTGGTAGGTAGTCAAGGCCAGATCGCCAACTGCTTCAGACGTGACGCAGGGGCGTTCTGGCCCACGGCGGGAGGGTTCGCCACCCGGGGGGTGACAGTGGGGATCTGCTCGGCGGCGCCCTGGATCGCCACCTTCCTGTGAGGCGACAGGTGGGCATTCGTATGTCGGGCCTGTCCCTCTACAGGAGGAATATTCAAACATAATCAAACATTATCCCGGCAAAGCAACCTAACAGCGATGTGTATAAGCATATCTGTCAGCCTCAGCCTGCCTCAACCTCAGCCTCAGCCTGCCTCAGCCTCAGCCTGCATCAGCCTCAGCCTCAGCGCGCCTCAGCCGCAGCTTGCCTCAGCCTCAGCCACAGCCTCAGCCTCAGCCTCAGGCGCAGCTTGCCTCAGCTTCAGCCTCAGCCTCAGCCTGCCTCGGCTTGCCTCAGCCTCAGCCTCAGCCTGCCTCGGCCTCAGCCTCAGCCTCAGCCTGCCTCAGCCTCAGCGTCAGCCTCTCGGCCTCAGCCTGCATCAGCCTCAGCCTCAGCCTCAGTCTCAGCCTGCCTCAGCCTCAGCCTGCGTCAGCCTCAGCCTCAGCCTGCCTCGGCCTCAGCCTGCATGAGCCTCAGCCTCAGCCTGCCTCAGCCGCAGCTTGCCCCAGCCTCAGCCACAACCTCAGCCTCAGCCTCAGCCTCCTCAGCTTCAGCCTCAGCCTCAGCCTGCCTCGGCTTGCCTCAGCCTCAGCCTCAGCCTGCCTCGGCCTCAGCCTCAGCCTCAGCCTGCCTCAGCCTTCAGCGGTATCATCGTCCCGGTCGGGGGTTCAGCCTCTCCAGCACTCCACTCCCATCAGCCTCAGTCCTCAGTCTCAGCCGCTCAGCCATCAGTCTCAGTCTGCCCAGCCTCAGCATGCCTCCAGCCTCATGCCTCAGCTGCCTTGGCCTCACAGCCTGCGTCAGCCTCAGCCTCAGCCTGCCTCAGCCTCAGCCTGCCTCAGCCTCAGCCTCAGCCTCAGCCTCAGCCTCGGCGTGCCTCAGCCTCAGCCTCAGCCTGCCTCGGCCTCAGCCTGCCTCGGCCTCAGCCTGCCTTAACTCGGGTATTCAAATATGGCACAGGACTTGTGTTCTGGGAGCACGAAGATCACGAAGTGGTCCACAGTTGGCTCCGGGCAATCAAAATATGGTGCAGGAGTGGTGTTCTGGGAGCACGAAGATCACGAAGTGGCCCACAGTTGGCTCCGGGCAATCAAAATATAGCCTGGGAATGGTGTTCTGGGAGCACGAAGATCACGAAGTGGCCTACAGTTGGCTCCGGGCATTCAAAATGTGGCCTGGGAATGGTGATCTGGGAAGACGAAGAACACGAAGTGACTGACAGTTGGCTCGGGGCATTCAAAATGTGGCCTGGGAATGGTGTTCTGGGAACACGAAGAGCACGAAGTGGCCTACAGTTGGTTCCGGGCATTCAAGATGTGGCCTGGGAATGGATTCCTGAGGATTCCTAAACATTCCAGAGGATTCCTAAGGATTCTTGGGGCTGGCGGATCCGTCCGGTTCCTTGTCCGGGTTCCGCCCAGACCCCCTTGGGGCGTCAAGATGCTCTCTTTTGACATTACTAGAATCTTTTGACACCACTAGAAACCTATCAGCAAAAGCTGCCAGGTAAATACCAAGGGGATTATTTTTTGACTATGTTTGACCATTTGGGGGTGATTTTTGGGATACTTCTAATTTTTCGCTCAGAATCCCCATGTAGGGGGACGTGCCCGACTGAAGGGGGGTATTCTGGTCCACGGCTGGCCGTGGAGGTGTGCTGCGGCAGCCCAGCACGTCACCTGCCTCAGTGGCGACAGGAGGAGGCCTGCTCCACGGCAGCAGGGATCGCCGCCCCAGGGCGGGGGGCCTGCGACGCGGTGGCGAAAAATCGGAGGAGGAGCAGCACGGAGCGAGGGTGGAGGAGGAGGAGGAGGAGGAGGAGGAGGAGGAGGAGGAGGAGGAGGAAGAAGAGGCAGAGGAGCATGGGGAGGAGGAGTGGAGCAGTCCTCCCTCCGCGCTCCCCGTCCTTTCCCACCTGCCTGCACGTTCTTGCTCAAGCTGCCCTGCCTGCTCTCAGTCCGCCCCCCCCCCCCCAACCCTCCTCCCCTCCACCCCGCATGGGGTGGAGGGAAGGGAGGGTTGGGGGGGGGGGTTGCTTCGGCCCATTCGGCAGTTGAATGGGCCAGGGAGTGCAGGTGGGCTAAGCAGGACAGTCCCAGTATGGAGGAGAGGTGGCCCCTGGAGGGCGGCTAGCTCGGGTTTCGCCGCTGCGGCGGCAAGGGGCTTGACCCCTCAGCATCCATTCCATTCCATTCCATTCCATTCCAGTCCTCCACCCCGCATCCGGTCGGGCAAGCAGCCGCACTCGGGAAGGGCAGGGGGGCCGTCGCCAAAAGGGGGACAATGGCGCGAGGTCGGGAGCCCGAGCTCCTCGCACGCCAGCGCGAAGGGATCCCGCCCTCACGGCACCAGGGAACCTCGTCTTCGACAGGGCTTGTCGCCGTGGCACCTCCGCTCCTCTGGTAGGAGACGTGTGTTTGTGCCCGCCACCTTCTCTAGATTCGGGCAAGGTAACCTGCACGGAGGGGGATAGGACGGGGGCGTGGCGAGGTCCGAAAGGACATCTGCACTTCACGCAAGTCGGGACGCACTTGCACGCCTTCTCAGCCCCAAGAAGCGGAGGAGGGAGCGGGGAAGTGTCATGCAAGTGAACTTACCATCATTTGCATCAACATATGCTCTTGAGACGTGCGGCGTGTCGCCTTGAGGCGCGATTGCCCCAGAGTGGTCCAGGACGTTCTGCCCCCATGTCCCACAGCAGGGGGACATGTGAGGAGACGGAGAACGG